GACTTCAATAATTTTAGCTGCTTGTGTTTATCACTTTGAGCTTTGTGGGTTGCCGTAAGGACAAAAAGAACGATTTCCAGGATTAGCCATGGATAGTACTAACAGGGGGTGGAAGCTGACGACAATTTTGGCATAGCGATCAAGGCATTGACGAGTGAAGCCAAGTGAAATGACTGCTGTGTACTCCCGTATCCCATAGTTCAGCCACAAGAGTGTTACCAATGAAACTCCGATTACAGAGCATCCCAAGACAACATGGCGTAGATGCACCTCTCAACCATCGTCGATGTTATGCAAGAGCTACCTTACTTCAGTCCAACGCTACTACCCCGCTGGCACTGCTAAAAAATGTACAGCACCTGGAACATTTGCCACATGATGAAAGATACCAGATGGTCTAGTACAAATACAATTCGTCAAGTTATATAGATAGAACAGGATTGATAGCTCCAGATAACTGATTTACATGGTTGATGGAGCCAATCGAGCAACCATCTGGAACTCTTCTGAATCTGTAAACATAAATCTTTCTTCATCATTTCTCATCTTTCTCAACAATCTTCTTCTCCCCAGAATTGACGCTCTCAAAGTCCTCCTTGTACGTCATGAATACATCGTCGTTGAGATGACGGTGTCTGAACCAGAAGACGATGGTCTGAACGAAGAGGGCGATACCAGGGGCAGCCCAAGCCCAAATTAGGGTTGGGTCCGCGATAGACGGAAGAAGAATCTGTCCCAAGGCACTGCTCAAGGCTGTCATGAAGAGGAACAGAGCAACAACGGTCGATCTCATGTGCTCCGGGGCGCGAGCATAAGCCAACTCGTAGGCCGTGACGTTGATGAAGATCTCGGACATCGCACCGAGTGCGACATTGGGAATTTGCCACCAGATCGAGAGAGGGGAGACGTCGTCGCAGTCGCTGGCAGCGTAGCCACTTCAAAGAATGTTAGCATTGCCTCTCGGGTGCCAGGTCAATCTGTAGGAAAACTTACCAAGGACTCGTCTCATAGACACGCCATTGTACCAATGCACCAATGAGGGAAGAGATGATGGCCAAAACGAATCCCACTGTCATTCTGCTGATGCGTCCAAACTTGACGTTTCTACGCTCGAGGAAGGGGTAGACGACATTGGCCATGAAGGGTGAGAAGACGATGATGACCAAGGGATTGAAGTGACTAAGCAAATCGTTCGGTGCGCCGTCAGATGTCATTGCCGCACCTTGGTTGCTCTGGACGTTTCCAACGCCGCCATCGTTCAAGTACCAGATTGGGATGTAGAGGAAGATCTGGACTGCTTGCCACGTGCGGCGTGCATCGTCAACATCCTTCTCAGAGTAGCCGACATGGACTCCCCGTTCGGCGAGAGCGGTAGGGCGGACGTTCTGCCACACATTCTTGGAGAAGATGTTTCCCTTGCTCGCCTTGATTGCGGCAACTGTGATCTTGACGAAGCGGTTCAAGTCGGAACCCTGAGGTGCGACTCTGACTGTACGCTTGTACGTGGCGGCAAGCAAAAGCGGAAGCAGGAAGTAGACGATACCAGGAACGAGGTATGCCAGCCAGAAACTGTGGTACTTCTCAATGTAGACGACGGCGATGGAGAAGAAGGCGCCAACGTTGATGAAGGCGTAGAAGATCAGCATGATGTGGTTGACTGTAGTCTCGGGGTCGACGATGACCTTCTCTCCCGACTTGAGCACCTTGGTGTACTCGCGTTGGTGCTTGTACTGGTCGATGACTGTCGGTGCAACATTGGGCTTGAAGATACCGGCTCCGATGGCAAGTAGGAAATAGCTGATAAGAAACGGGGCAACACCTTTGCCGGCTTGCAGGATTGACGGAGCAGCGCCTCCGACCATGATAACATGGGCAACACCTCCAATACCAACACCCCATGCGATGGCTTTGTAACGGCCGATCTTGACGTCTGCAATCCACGCACCAAAGATGGGAATGACGTAGGCCAGAAAGGTGAAGAGGAGACCCAAGGCAGAGGCTGTCTGCAGTCCCAGACCAAGAGCGCCGGCATGGGAATTAGGCTTGGACTTGTCGATGGCACCGGTGCCAGGACCTCCTTCGGGGAGTGGAAACTGGAGGTAGTTGTTGAAAGCGGCCTTGACACCATAGTATGATGCTCTCTCGGCCATTTCTACCACGCAAAGAGACCATGATGTGATAGGGATGGAGTCTGCAACTTTGCGAAGCGTCGACCGCTCTTCAGCAGTCGGGGCCGGGTAGGCCTCATCATCGATAACAGAGTGTGCCTGATCGAGGGAGTTGTTTTGGGACTCTACGTCGAGGGTACTGACTTGTTGAGCCTTCTCGGGGTGTACGCCTTGGTCGGAGTCGGGCTCGACGACCTTGTGCACGTTGAGACCAATAACATTCTCAGCTGCAGACATGTAAGCGAACTAGACGTACATCAAACTTGTGCTAGAGACCTTACCCATGGTGATCAACTTCGCTCTGTGTAACTTGACAGCGTTGGTTTAGAGACTGAAGGAAGAGAAGGTGAGGAGGCCCGGGAACCTGAGTTTTGGCCTACCTCGCACCTACTGATATGTTATCTGCTAGTCCCCGGAACGTTGCATCCAGAGATAGATCTCCAGACCAGTTGACAGGAGGGCTCCATCGAACTATCCTGTTCAGGGACCGTAGGCCTGCCCAGACGGCCAAGGCGGGGCCAAGATTGATCGCGAGCTTGTGGAAGCTTGTTGCGACATTGGCACATTGCCATTGACCCCATGCATATCCTAGTCCCGGCAAGTGGGTGGCTAGCTCCCGTCTGGGCACTTGATAACGTCTCTTTCATTCCAAGGCTGGAAAACCAGCGAAATCTTCACAAACTACAAGAAGTTTGGAGAACTTCTCGCATTCTCTTGAATCTATGAGCATCCAAATGCCGCTTATCTTTGGTGTTCGAGGAACTTCAAGAGCGGAACGTTACCATAATTGCTGCCCACTTCCCCGGCCAGCGGGACCCCATGTCCACAACAGATATGGAGGCGGGCCGATATCAACACCCTTATCGGTCTTTTATCCGCCGGCATTCCATGACGGGAGCCCACGACGTCGATTGCGTGATTGCGAGAGTGGGGGATTTTGTCGTTGCACATCCAACAAGAGCAGAGATATCCCCAAACCACGAAATTGGATGTGCTTGTCCCCTTGCCGTAGTTGGCCGCCGGACGGGACGACCGAAAGCTTATTAGTGCTTGGGACCGGCGCATCCTCAGTCGGGCGAGCTGTTGTGAAAAACTAGAAATGTCGCCATAATCCACCCAACTTCAATCCCAGCTCGAGTTGCGTAACAAATAGACCAATATGGCCTATGAGAATGGCATCATTGTCATCTTGCCGAGGCATGAGTGAGTATTTGTATCCTTCGCCGCCCCCTTTTCTTGTTTAAGATGTCTCGGCGGCCAAGCCGTAACGAGTCATTCGTGAGTGAGAAAGATGCGGCGAGAGCGCCCGAACAGGCCCAAGATACATCGTTTTTGGAGTTCTTGTAGCTTTCTGGCGTTGTTGGCTGTGTAATTCTCGCGCAATCTTTAAGGTTTGCGATGCTTGGCGGTGGGAAATCTGGTTGAGCATTCTCCACATTCGACAAGCACTTGAGGCACGTTCCAACTTTCAAGCCCACCGTGAAAGCACGCCATCCATTGTAGCGAGTGACAAGTTTGACTGTGCGGTTTTCTCCCTCTTGCAGTATAAGAAGGACACGGATGGCACAAGATTTCCACTCGAAGCAAGAGTTTTTCAACATAGGTATGCTGGGACGTGATGCTTACGAATTTCAGTAAAACTCACGAATAAAGCTTTGGTAGCTTCCGACGCACATCCTGTTGCTAAAAGCAGAAGACACTGCTTTTCCGGAAACATTGTCCATTGACGGGCATCCTAGAGGTCAATGAAGCTTCTCATGTTCATCTATCTCATGTGTCTACGCAGGTATCTCCGCGCAAGTGGTCTTCGATTCATATCAAACAGCTTTGAGTGACGTCACAGCAATGTAGTCAAGCCATCGTAGTTATGTCTGGTTGAAAAGAAAAAGAAATACTTCAACATTACAACACCGCCTTATATGTCGAACGAATTACGTATCTTGACGTTTCTCAATGTTGAGAGAACCATATCAAAGCATGCAGCCCCCCGCGATCACAGACCAGTCTCAGGAACTTTGTACTTGAACTTGCGCGGAACTATTCAAATGGGCATGTTGTGATTGGTGGCCACTAAGATCAAGCCCTGTTTAACATCCTGACTCTCCTTGCTTCTAGTAAGCTGCAGCCGGCAACTAAGACCGAAACTAACAACGAATTGACTGAGCTGAAATGTGGAAATGTGGAGATGTGATCGAGTATCTTCGTCGAGTGTATGTTCCAGCTGGTATGGAAGTAGTCCAAACATAGTCGTATTCTACCTACTCCAACTCGGAGTTTTGTTCCTCTCGCTTTCGAAGGTAGTGGAAGCCGATGTATTATTCCATTCGACTACCCGATGCCATCCCTGACGGCCCTGGGGTAATCAACGTGAGATATTGTAAAGTGCGTTTCTCCCGCTAGATTAAGTGTCTTGAGGAGCTGCAACACCTCGCAAGGTCAAAGAACCCCAATCAGCTGTTTTCTGAAGCCAGACTCCAAGGAATTGCTTTTAGCCCCAGCGCGACCCCTCAGGTTCTTGCAACTCGATCGTTTTGACCGTGAAAACAATGTCATTTTCATGTCAGCGCGGGGTAGCAACTTCAGTTTAAGCCTCGAAGGAACATTAGCTGAACGTTAGGCACTCGTGGCCAAACAGATTCATGATCTCACATGGGGTTTGTCATTCGCGACACACACTTCCAGCTGTAACTTTTCTCATCCATTTTCACATGATTCCGAGGCAATACACCAATCAATCGATCAACTTCTATAAACCGAGATACACGTTCATGAAGCCCCTATCCAGTTCCGGATCCATGGTGGTCTTCTCGTCAGTTTTCACACCTGAATACCATGGCACTAAAGAAGAAACCAGATCAGTCCGAGAAATCGGGGCAGGGCAAGGAGTCGGAGCCGCCCAAGAAAGTGGAACAACCCAAGAAAACAGAACAATGTAAGAAACAGGCGCAGCCCAAAACACCAGAGCAGCTCAAGAATTCGGAACCATGCAAGAAATCGGGGCAATCTAAGACCTCGGGGCAACCCAAGATACCAGAACAGCCTAAGAAATCAAAGCACCTTGAGGAGTCGGAACAGTCTACGAAACCAGAACAAAAGCTGAAGAACCCAGAGCAGGAAAAGCCAAAAGAGGTGAAGAAATCAGAACAGGCTGTGGGCCAGCTTGGTCCGCAGACTGCGTCATGCCAAGCCCTCATTCGCACAGCCTGTCCTCAATATCTGACGTCTGAGGAATTTGAGCAGATAATTAGACAGTTCAAAAGTTGCCCCTGGCTGGAGAATAAGCAGGTGTTATGGAGCGGGTTGATGAAGGATCAGGTTCAAGAATGGGCAGCTCAACGAGGGATGCAGACGCTCACCACCGCCATGGGACCATTGATGGACTCGGGCAATCCCCTATGCTTGCGACAAACTAAAAGCTCCTGCGCGTGGTCGAAGTATATCAAAGGAGCTTCCCTTGTCTTTGCGTGGCGTATTTCTCAAGGCTCATACACTACTGTCCTAACTCCGCCACCGCCAGAACGGTTTCACCCAGACGGACTAACCAACTGGCAAGACATAGAGGAGCCCGTCTTGAAGGGTCGTCTAGGCACTCCGACGTCATGTGCAATCTTGCTAGTTCATCCAGCTGTCCAAGAAGCTCAAAACTTCCGCTATCAGGTGTGGCCGGTAGACTACACAGATAAATGGCTCAGGAAATTCAAAGTCAATCAAGCCTCGATTCACACCTGGAGAACTATATCTAAATCAAGAGGTCAGTTCCTGTACTACTCAATGTTCAGATGTTATATGATGGCTGATCAAAGTACAGCCCACACATCATGGATGGTCCCTACTGACGAGCCACTCAAGTCGGCGGATACGATCAAGTTGAGCACCACACGCAAAGCCAATGCCGTAACACTAGCCAGCGCAGCTTCGAGGGATAATAATGCCTCCGCAGATCCAAGATGTTTTCTACAAAGTCAAGTAAACATGCCTGAAATTGGATTTGGTGGAGAGAAGAGACTAGTTATGCCACAAGTCACCAAAGTTTCAGGCACTACGATGTCTCCTCCCGGCCCAACACTGTCTCCAAAAAACCAACATAGCAGACGTCGAGTTGGAGTTGATGCAGCAACTCAGACTATCCAAGTGTCATTCCCTGGGTCACAAATCGTCAACGTCTCAAGCGATGAAGCCCTACCCCCTGCTTCAGGAGGCCAGCCGCAATGCCAAAAGAGCATGGGCCAGACTAAAGCTGGTACAGAGACGAGGCCGGCCGTACCCAAGGTCAGTCAGGTTTCAAATGATGCGATCACTTCCCAAGATAGATCTGATACTCCGCAGAGTCTCCCGAATATTTCTCGAGCTCGCGCGAATCCAGAGGCGATTCAACTCAGTAGACCCGGAGAACCTGCAACGGGTCCATCGTCTGCTGCGTCCATTACAGAAGCTCCATCAGCTTTCTTGGTGTGTCTGTATTTGGCAATTATCGAGATTATTCTATCGTTGCTGCTGCTTCTGATTGGAACTGCAGTACATCTTGGTTTGATGCCATGGAACAGGGCCAAGATGAGTGAAATCAAGACACCATGTCCCTTTACTAATGGCGGCTCGGCTTCTCAAGCAATACCAGTGAATTCAAAGGCTGCCAAGAAAGCTGCTAAGAAAGCATCAAAACGGTTCATCAAAGAACAGTCTTTGAGAGAAGCTCAAGAGGCACTGGAATCTACCGTGGCCATCGGGAGGCTATTCCACGAAGACAAACTAGTGGACGAACCTCAGGCAGCCTATGTTGATACCTCCAGCACCTTGAGCAACTTTTCAGCGCCAACAATTACAGTATCTGGAATGGATTTTGCTAGCCACGGTCTGCCTGGGTATAAGAGGAAAGGCAAGAACAAAAGAAAGAAGGCGACTGCGGTTGCGAGCATCACTGCGGAAGATGCGCAAGTCACCGCGTTCACACAGCCCACAAGGGAATATGCACACAGCTGCCTTGGACCAGTAGACCCCAGCGCGCTGAGGAAGTCCTACTGGGTAGACTGAGAAAGAGGTTTTGATTCAGTTGATCACTAAGTAGTTGCTTATCGAGGGTCCCAGACTGTGAAAACTGAGATGACCAGGGCTTTGCATGTAGTATGTGTTGTGGCACAAAATGTGAAGATGTTCGATGTGGAGCGTTTCCTATTCAATTATTATCCAGTCAGTATCACTATGAATTAGGACAGATGCGTTAAAATAATCTCTCATTACGAAACATCATCATCTCGACTGTCTTTGTCATGAAATATGACGATATGGGTTTTGTGTTTTCATGCAACATGTAGGCCTTATCATTGTGATGAAGACAAGGCAAAGTAAACTTAAGTTGTTAGTACCTTGTATTGAACGTCAATGACACCAGGGGAACATGATAGATCTTGCTACACAGAGACATATTTCATTGCAGGTTCAAATCATGTCCGCCCTCTGAATTCCTCTTCACGTCCAGTTTGAACTTACATGTAGCCACACGAACCGGAGCAGATATCTTTTACCTTCATATAAAATAGCTACTGTAGAAAATCATGACAGACTCTAATGATGCCCCATTCCAATTCAGTACAGTCTTGGAAGATTCGGGCAACACACTCCTGATGCCTCATTATCATTATGAGCCCATCTCATCAAATCCGGAGGCACCCAGACACAATTCCGACATCGCCGATCGACATCAATGCACCAGACCGCTGCGGTATCCTCGATCCCACAATAGAAGATAGAAAATGACACGTGAATCTAGACGCCTCACGATCATGGCCCCTCCCGTCTCGATGTCACATCACGCATCAGCTCACGAAAGCCAAGTGTATGTTCCCCGGCTAACCCGCAAAACCAGCACCTCACCTCACCCATCAACCGTCGGCCGAGCCATTGTTCCACAAAACTCGCATCATCGAGAGACGATCCCTGGCTCTTCCCCTCTCTTCACAGGCCAATGTCAGTGAAGCACCCCGAAATACGAAGGAATTCTGGAGACTGAAGTGGATGAAGCAAAGGGTGCAAGAGGTCTAGACAACAGGACGATCACTGGCGTCATTCAAGCCCTCCACATCATCCAAGTTCAGGGTCCTTTTCAGAGCGGGCAGCAAATCGAGAGGGTGTGTTTGGATGGAAAAGGGATCAGCACCGCTTCACACCCTCTCACGCAACCCATCTGTACGTTATGTTATGGCTGCAGTTGATAAGCAACGCAGAAGCGCCTCATTGAACCCTGAAACGTCTTCTTGCAGGGCTGGCGCAGGTGTCTGTCTTGTGCGGCATATGAGAGGTCAATCGCTTGGGTATCAATCTCACACCCACTGGCAATGGGTGAGGTCGCAGTACACCGACACCGGTCCGTCTGCATCAGATAGCTTCTGGCCTAGGAAGGAAATTATGCCACTTAAAACAGCGATTGAGCGAGGCTGGATGGGGACCACCCTCAGAGAGGATGATATTTCCCGACCCTCCATCTCAAAGGTCTTGAATATCGTCCGAGATGGACAGGATATTGTTGGGGCCGTCATCATCGCGGTACGGGGCGAGATGTTACGGATTCCATGCAGACCGTGGATCCATCGCGCATTGTAGTGGCACGGTTGATAGTATGACTGTTGATGGTGGTGGGCGTCCAATCTCGGCGTGATATTTGACAAAATAATTAGCAAAAAGCTAACGTAACGGCGAAAGTCCGGAGCGAAGTCCACAAAGCATTGTCCTCTCCGATAACGCAAGGACGGTGAGGGCAGAAGAAGACGCGCACAGCCTCGCGCGAACCTTGCCGCCACCCGGCCGAGCGAGCCATAGACACACAAACACAGAGAGAAGAAACACACGCACTCATACGCAGGAGAAGAGGGTGAAGAACAAGGTGGTCGGGGATTTTACAGGCCAACCAGCCAGGCAGACCCAGCCCCTACAGCATCTAGGGACCCTGCCAACGCCGCAGATTATCACAGTTACCGACCTCGTTTTCGCCATGTCAGCCCCATGCAAACGCACTGAAGCTCACTGAAGCTTCTTCTGGTTTAGCAGTTTAAGTCTGTGCCGCTCCTCATCTCCACTGGCGCTGGCAGCGGACGCCCCTCCAGGGCAAGTCCCTTTCAAGTTTCCCAACAACAACGCCGTACACGTACACGTATGCGTAGAATCCACAGAGGCGAGTTTGACATGTCTTGTTCCAAGGCAAAGGCAAACTAGTTTGGGAGACGTGCGGCGCCATCGTGCTTCGTTGGAGTGATGTTTGAACGCCGGCGGCTCTGTTGTGCTCCACATCGGTCTGATATGATGGATGAGGAATGATTATGTGATGATGGCCCGTTCGTCTTCCCATCGTTTAGCCTCAACATGATGTGAGCGAAGCAGCAGCAGCAGTAAAGTGGAAACCCAAAGCAATGACAAAAGAATTGGGTCTTGCGGGGGTTGGGTTCGGTGTTCGTGGGTTTGTGGGTTGGTGGACCTCTCCCTTGCGCGAACACCCTCGACCGCCTGGACCTTCTCCAGAACTGAGCTGAGCTGAGCTGCACGACGGCCGCTGCTTTGCGGAGACGGGAAGGGACTTGAGGGGAAAGATTGTCCATCGATCAGCGTGAGTCTAAATCTCTCTGACGAACAAACGCAAAACGGCGGCTGGGGCTGGATTCATCAGAGACATGAATCTCCACAGATAAGCAGATTGGCTTTTCTACGTCTGGCGTCTCACTCTCGAAATCTAGGTGGTAGATCCCGATTCCCGTTCATCGAAGGCAGACAAAAGCAGCAGCGGCTCATCCGCTGTTCTCAGCGATGCGGCGGACGCCGGGGGAGGGGGTGTAGAAACATGGGAGGAAGACGTCAACAAGTCCGTTCATCATTTTTCTCAGACCTCCAACGAACAATGCAATCCACATTAAATCCTCATTGCATTTAATGTCTATTTCGAATCCGTACGTCCATCGTGTTGAGCGTATCAGAAGCATCGAAAGGCATGGGCAAAAAGCGTCAATATTACCTGTGCCGCTCATCCACCCCCGGCTGCCCCTCGTTCCCGCGCTTAGCAGCCCACATCCGCAGACAAGCAGACACTGGGACCGACCCATCCGCTGGGTCTCGTTAACCGTGAGTTCGACATCTGCAAGTGAGCCTCGAAGGGGGAAGAGAAGAGCCTCCTCGCATCTTGACAGTCACAGACCGACGGTCTAGAGCGTGGTCCATCGAATCCTTCACCCCCTCCTTCACCTCACTCACCTCCTCCCATGGTGCTACGCCCAACGCTCACCGGCCCGTGTAGCTCTTGGCCAAGGGCCTCTCCGTCTGATCCACGGGCAACTCGAGCGCACCACCCGCTCAGTGATCGACAGTGTCGGCTTTGGTTGTCAGATTTGGCGCATCTAACGGACAGCTCCAGATGCTGCAAAGCTTACGAACGAGGCGAGCTTCAGCCAACGTTTGTTTGACAAGGTTGAGTTTCTTTGCTTGAGGCGGTAGGTCTCGCCGGTATAGTCGGGGGGCGGAGGACTCCGCTGCCGGCAATTACAATTCCCGTCGCCATCGCCTTTGAATTTTCACCACACCAAAACACAGAAACAGCAAGATTCAACGTCTATCAAATCCGATCTCTGCCCAAGTCAACTCAAACACCCTCCGTAAGGCTTGAACCCCTCTTCTGTTGCCTTAATTACACACGCAACTCTAAGTGTAGCTGCCAATCTCTCAACACAGCGCCCCTAAGGAACATCTAAACAATTCTCATGTTCGCATATCCCAAGAATCGTGCAGTGGCTCATTCGTCATTCACAAGCCTAGCCCCCTAGTAGAGGCGAAAAAAATCTCTGCAAGTAATTGGCAGGGGTCGACATCAAGCTGCAGTCCCAACTGTCCGATATTGTCTCACCATATGTGCCTCGCTGAAATGCTCTCTCTTACATCTTGCGAACCCTGGATCTGAATAATACCGACCACCGGCTTTCGAGCCTCGAAGGGGTGGTCTTGCATGCCATGGATTGGTCGATTAACCACTCAACTCATCTCATCCTCGTTCCCGTTGCCGCTGGCGGGCTTCGTTCCGAGTCCCGACTCCCATCACCGTTGTCGTCGGCATCGCGATGTGAGTTATTGTTGGGGGTCCCTCATCCGTTTTTACATGTTTCGCATCCGCAAGTGGCCTGGATCTCCGCGAACCCCGGTCTACGTGATGTGCTTCGGAGGATTTCACGCGTCAACTCGTGCTTCAAGGACATGCGAACTGGTCGTCCCCATCGGAGCCCACACATCGTGAACAGCACACCCCTTGTCGTTCCAACCCATGGGCCAATGCTGTGGCTAGGCCTTTGGCGACACCCCTTGGCCCTGCAACGACACCAAACCAAACATCGTGAAATGGACCGGGCATGAGCCAAAATGCAAGGCGCAGGAAACGGCTCAGCCAAAACCCCTTGCCATGCTCGTCACATCGTGAGGCTCTCCACAACGACGACGACATCCCATTCCACACTTCCCATCTATCTATCCATCCCTCCAGTCTCGTCAACTCCACAACCCCCGCTAGCCACGTTCGTCGCCTGCCCAGATAACGATCTTAGCACCATCATCGCGTAAAACAAACGAACTCTTACAACCTCCCTGAAGTAGCGACATCCTCTCTTCCATGCTCTTCACGCACGCCCACTCACCTCGTCACCTTCTAGACGAACGCCTCTATCCTTATTTCTGTGCAATTGTATTTCTGGCTTACCCGGTCTTACCAGCCAGAAACCAGCCCGTCCAGCCCCTTTGCAAACCATGCCAGCAGTCGAGGGCGCTAAAGAGTCCACCAAACAGCCAAGGTCAAGAAAAGCCTCAAAAGTGGACGAAACCAGCCAGCGACAGCGCCCACCGCCGCCCTAGCAGAGCTGTCCACCGCACCGTCGCGGGCGCTATCTGCCAGGCGTGCCAGAGAAGCTCCCGGCGGGATAGTAGTTCTGAATAAGAGGGAAGGCGAACAAAACAATGAATATGACTATAATTCTCCATGCCAGCCTTGCCAGCCTCCGAAGCCGGCGCTATAGCAATCGTGGCATAGTCAAAGCGTACGAAGTTTATGCTGCTTTTGCGTTGCAATGGGGAAAGACATAAGGGTTATTACCGGAGATGCAACAAGACGACTAGAAGCGCACCGACGGTAGAACTTCATGCTGACTGACTGACCGACATTGAAGAGATGGTGGTGGCTGCTTTAGACAACCCCTCGTCTGGCACTGACACTGCAAACACAACCCAAACCACCAACGGCCAACCCATCTTGGCATCTCGCTCTAGCTCACCTCTAGCGGACAGATTCTTCAGAGCAAAACTAGACACACGTCTCTCTCTCTGAGTCTCTGTGTGTCCGTTGTCCGTCTTTTCTCCAGGCGGCTTAGGTTCCCCCAACAAGAATAAACTTTCTCCGTGCTGTGTGTGTTGCACCACTCCCACCCCGACCGGACTGTCCGCACAGACTTGCCCCAGGGGAGGCGAACAAGAGACCCAAACGCAACGATCCCCTTCCTCTTCTTGCACTGACTGGGGGATCAGTTCTAGGGGCGGCAAGCAAAGCTACCGTGCTCTGAGTGGATATCTTCTTCCTGAAGAGTTAGAAGCAAACCTCTCTATTATGCCCAAGGTTCTCTTTGATATTGGAGGGGGAGGGTGTTGGAAGAAAGAAGCCATCTTGACAAGTTCAGGCTCACCGCACATCCTTCTCGATATGATGCTGGCTAGGGGCCCTCTGGATCTGAGATACCTATGCCCGCACCCCTTGCCCGCATCCGCATCACACCTTTCGAGATCCATGTCTAGGCTGATGCCCCAGACGCCCACTCAGAATAGCGAAGCGGCTGGCAAGGCATCCGTAGCATGTAGCATCGTGGCAAGCAAGCGCAATAAACGCACTCGCGCACGCAGTAGTTCTTCTTCCTGCGTAGTATTAGCAGTTCTGGCAGCATCAGCAATAGCATCCCATTCATACCTTTCGCATCTGTATCAGTGGATAGGTTGGTCCCTGGAGAACCGGAGTGGAGACTGTCAAAGTTCCAGACCCCTCCCTCCCTGATAACAGCGTCTCATCATCGGAACCCGGTCGCATGCCATGCCACCACCATCACCACACACACACGACTCCGGATTGTATTTGCAGCACACCCAAAGAGACGCGCATTCTCACACATTCGCATACACACCTAGACCGCATTCCGCATACTGCATGTCGGAAGACGCAAGGCCCTTGGAGGCTCCGGCCCCAGCACCCCAGCAGCACCCTCCAGTGTCCCCATCCATGTGGCTACAAGCCTACGAATACCTACAGATGTCCGGGAGTCGCATACAGACGAGATGGCGAGGGGGGAAGGAAGGAAGAAAAGGGCAAAGATTTGCAACCACTGGCAAGAGTCTGGGCCATGGAGAACCAACAGATGCGAGGTCTCCCACGCACGCCACCACCATCATCAACCATCCGGCGCTCGTCCTCGTCTTTACGTCCATATCCCTCGCCGCTATCACCACCACCTACACCACGACCAAGATCCTAAAGAGAGCCCTCCCGCATCCGTCTCGCCTGCTCCCATCTAGGTATACCGCTATGCGATGAAAAAAAAATACCTCTTCTACGACACCGGAATCCCCTCAAACCCCTTCGTCAGTCTCCACCCAGCCACCACCACCACCGCCTCCCTCCCACACAACACCACAACACCTCCCCGCGTCTCGCCCCGTTTCGTCCGCGCCCGTCGCCGTCCAACCCAAAAGCCATAATCTTCAATGATCGTCGGACCCTGAAAAAATATGATTAAGAAAAACCTGATCTTCAGACACACAAAGGGGTTCAACTCAGGCGGCAGCCAGCAAGCTCAGGTAGCCCTAAGTGGTAGCGTTGTGTTGCTGCCGCTTTAGCTTGCTACACGCACGCAAAAGTTGTAAACTGACGTGCTGACTGACGTCCATCTTCTCCATGAAGGGGGCAATCATCGCCTCGCCTGAAGTTTGAACCGTAGTTCCCCAGCCCAAAGACAGGATTTGCACCCTCGCCATACTTACACGCACGCAAACGCGACGCAAGCCTTCCACGCAGCGGGCATTGCACATGAAAGAGACACACGAGGAACGCCATCGACGACAATCTCCCCAGGACCCCTATGACCTCACATCAACAAGCCCCATTGAGAGCCACATGTTACATGTTGTCCATTGAAGCTCGTGCTGCTATGGTCTCCTGGCCGTAGAAACTGCAACCCAAAAAATGCTACGCGCTGTGTGAGCCGATGCCCCAAGAAACTCTCGCTGTAATTCGAATATTCCATCATCATCAAGCCTCTCACGCATCATCATCATCGCCCTCACATCTCACAAAGCAGACAATCACCAAATGGCCTCACTCATCTGCACAATTACGAGGCCCCCATCTCTCCCTCCTTACCAACGCGGTTCTCTCCGCCCACCACCCGGCATCGCCCATTACACTCTTCGTAACATCGATGCCGTAGGTGGTGTTGAAAGAACCAAAAAAAAAAAATGCCTCCCCCATTCTCCACCCGTGGCGAACGGTAAGCCGTGGCGCCTGCAACCGCAACCCATCAGCCATCCTCGAAACACCACTGTCACCACCAACTTGACCAAACGAAGCATCGATGCCATTGCCGAGGATCTAGTCATCCATTCCAAGTTCGAGACTGGTCTGATCTCTGACTCCCCATGGCTACATCTGCGCCTCATTCGTACATTGCGCACCACAACCCGCTCGCCTCGATAGTGATATCCACCATCAACAGAGAAGCGCCGAGATTATGTGTCAATTATCAAACCTCTCATCAAAAATGGCCCGAACATCCCCGGGGGGTTCAAACCACCATCTCCAGATAACCTTGCCCGCCCACACATCCATCACCAAAAGCTACAGTCATGAAAACACCAATCTTCTCCACTCCAGCATCCCATCGCCACTGCGCGGTTTTGACAAACATTCAGACGATTCAGACGAGAAGAGGTATACCTCCGCCCGCTAGACTTTGGTTTACCCCTTCTCGTAGCCCAACAGATGGTCTCTACTCCCCAACATCCGCCGCGACAAGAACTCTAGTATGTGGTTCCTCAGTTCCTTGATACCTAACGCGAGAACGGGGATCAGCGAGAAACGTTCCCCGGGTCGCCGAATCTGATTTTCATTTTTACCGCCGTTCAGGCTCCCGGGGTCTAGCGATACCCACCCACCCATGCCCCCCGTCCGTGTCCGGAAGCCGGGGAACCTATGCCCACGATGATTCAACAAACCCTCTTCCTCCCCGCAAAATCTAACGTGTGTCCATGTCCGTGCCGCCGGAAACCCATCGAGCTCAGGTAATTACCTAGGAAAGAAAAGAAAAATCAAATCAGCCGCGAAAAGTATAACCAAACAGACAGAGTTACAAAGACTCAACGACTTAAGCACTGACTTCAAGCCTTCAACTCAATCCCCGCAAAAGCTTGTCCGGTTCAGATACAGAGACTTTGGAAACGTGCCAACAATGCTTTCTGCCGACTTTTTTTTTTTTTTTCAGTCTACACCCTCGTCTCCATGTTCGTGCCATTGAATACATCCATGTTTTGTGTCACCCGTACCATCTTGCTGCCGTTATCCTCCCCCCATCGTCGGGCAAAAAACACCTTATCAGACTTTGACTCTGCATCTCGGAGCCGGAGGGAGGCATCGTAATAGGTGGCGTCGAAAATGTCAATCAAACGTGGAAAATGTAGTCCAGTTGCTACCAACTTTACAAACCCAACCCGCCACTCCAAAGCGAACAATGTTTACTTTACCTTCCCCAGAAAATCCATCCCATCCACCGCCCACGCAAACGTTATTCCCTCAACGACCGTGCAGTGCATTCCAACGTCCAAGTTTCCACGTCTAGGTTCTCCGTACGCAGTACAGGTACAGCCCCGAGCCAACCAACGCACGGTGAGAGCTGAACCACACATTCAAAAAAACGCTATCAAAATATGCCTGTAGGTCCGGGTTCAGGGTCCTCTGAGAAACCGGGGAATGCAGCCTCACTCACTTCACTCATTCCCCGTGCCTCGTAACCCTTGAACCCCGGCATCGGAGGCTCATAACTCTCTTTCTCAAGTCCTCAATCCCCATCCGTGCTGTCGTGTCACATCTCTCGTGTTCCCAGAAAGACTATCCCCATAGTCTTACCAACTTATCAGAAAGCCCGTCTAAACTTGCCTATCCCACTTATCATTATCCACCGGAAGAGATACTGTGTATGCAGTGTAAACAGTCCTGTATCACCACACCATCAACAGGCATGACTCCGGCCACGATATCTACTCAACACCCCGTTTAAACGTCGGCGACCCGATGAATCCGTTATATCCGCCGAGTCCACGCCTCCCTGCGCCCCCTCCCCGAACCCACTCGCCGAGAACCCCGGAAGTCCCACGATATCAGGTCCCACGGGTGACGGACGGGTGCGCTGGTTCGACCGACAGCCGTTGAAGTCGTGTGCGACTACCAACCCGATGCACAGCCGCCGACCACATTGCCATGCACCTCTCGCAGTGGCATCTCATTTCTCACCTCCATCATCATGCATCACCTCCATGAATCCAGAACGACCAAGTCTCTTGAGACTGATGATGCCCCCTCACCTCACGCCTGTTCTCAACCATCTCAATCCCCAGTGTAAATCGGTCCAGACCACCAAAACACGCCTTCGCGAAGTGACAGAACGCAGGTAATCTCACAAGCTTCCCCCGCGTTATGTTCACATCAGCGCCACAAGAATGCTGAAGATCCCGCCCTCATCCAAACACATCACTGTCTCGCCGCGTCAAGCGTTGTCTCGTGCTTGTCTCGCCCTTCTCCCTCACCACATCTCCTGTCGCTCGCGTGTTAGTGACGACTGCAACTGAACCCCCTTTTCCCCTCCCGATAAGGTATCCTTTTGTTCCTTTCCCCGCACAGCAGGGCAAGGGAAGGTAACAGCAAACGGCGCCATCTCCACCCCTCTCTGATGCCCTCCGCATGCAGGTAGCCCTCCACGTTCGCGCTGACTGCCTTGGCCTGCTCGTCGACTCGAGTGCCTCACCAATGCCTATCCAATTCACATGTCTCTCCATGTCGTCTCAATATTCTCCATGTTGCCTGCTCTCTCTCTCCCTGCCTCATCTGGTCTCCCATACCCACACTTGCTTTGTCATCGCAGATACGGCAGGCAAACTCCAACGTAGCAACAGGCGATGAGAAAGACCCCGCTGCATGCAAGCTGCGGTCTCGTCCTGTCCCAGAACACACAAAACTCATCGCCGCGTTCGGGACGCTATCGACGCGGGAGCACCGGATTGGCAATCTTCTACATACCGGTAACACTCTCTTCCCTCAACGCTCCTTGGACCTTTCCCACCCAAGCATCCACTCAGTACCACTTACCGCTGGTAGACTGCCACACTGCTACCATCACCAGCTAGGGCAGGACGCCAGGCAGAACATCCAGCCACTATGAACAGGCACGCCATATCCGAGAGAGGGGTACCGTCCAATCAGACGGCCCACGAGGCGGCTGCTAAGAAAAGAGCCGCTGGGTTCGACCGGAGTCGAGTTGGTGTGCTGACGGCGCGGCCCCTGTCCCACGACGCTGGCTATGGCCGTGAACATAGAATCGGTACATGATTACATGCCCTTCATCTCAGAGCTCAAGCTAGTGCTGCTACTGCTACTGCCACGGCTAGAGCTTCCCATAGGAGTTCGACCATGGAGCAACAAAGGCGGGGTCGATCTAGAGACTGATTTGCATCTCCACCTTTAAACTCGTAGTGATATTTCCAATGGGGAAGGGTGCATGGAAATCGTCCCCATCGAGCTGCGTTGCGGTCTGCATTACAGCCTCAGATGAAGCCCAGGAATTCCCCGCCCGTCTTATCAAGAGAAGTTATCGAATGCGGTTGACAATCCCCGGATCGTGCTTCAGTCATGAAAGTATCGCAACTCCCCCGCTGCTGCCCATCCTCGCATAGGAGGCCGACGTGGATATCTGGTGTGGATGTGTGGAGGACGACATCAGACTCCATTGTCCTTGTCATGCTCTTGCTTGATTGACTGCCAGGCCTCAAACCAAGCGGGCGTCGAAACCAGACCAAACTGGTTTGCCCGTGAAGCTCTTTTCACACATCTCCAGTACCTGCACAAAGGCGCAAGTACTCGAGATGGCTGGCGTGTAACGTATCCTACTACGAAGCTTAGCACAAGACATCCGCAAGCACTCCCCACCTTTGACCGTCAGCTATACAACCCAACTCTCGTCGGTAGCTGAAGGTCTGTTCCCCAGACTGCCCCAGGTTCCCAGCCCTGGGGAAAAGTCAATGTTGAACAAGGAAAGGACCCTGAAAAACTGAACCCAGACTCAAACTTCCAGATTAGTCTTGATAGTGGCCAGGTTCAGTCTAACTCACAAAACACCCATGCCGTGCGTGAGCGTGTGCCCGTCCAGAGTTCGTCGACGAAACACACACACCTCCCCCTCCTAAAACGGCCAAAAGCATGCCCTTCTTGGTCTACCGGGAAGCCCCAAAAAGGAGCAAATCTGAATTGCCGTATCCTGAGATTGCCCCCTTTGCTCCATCCGGCGCCGCTCCGGGGAAAACTCAGACGCCATGACAACAGCGGTGAACCCAGCCGACCTCTCCGCTTCAGTGTCCCGCCACCACGTTGAGTAAGCAACAACCTCAACACAAACGCCTCGGACGATTTAGAAAAGCACCGGTTTGCGGGCGGCAGTCGACGCCCAAAGAAGGTCGGTGGCTTGAACCATTGTTCAACGTGGTATGGTCCTCGAAAGCATAACGTCCGTGAGACCAGAGGTCTCGTCTTAGCGCCTGGCCCGTCTCCCCGCTTTCTCCAAGCTAGACCTGGAGAACTAGGGACGATGCTGAAACGGCCTCTTCGCTGCTCTGTGCCACCGGACGCCGTGGAAATGCAAGGTCGACATGGCATGGCCAACTGGAGCTTCCACGTCGTTGTCGTCGCAGTGAAGGTTTGTGGGGTAGCGATGCAAGACGCTGGTTGGTCGATGGAAGATGTTGCCTCTGAATGTCGTCTCATCAACGGGCATGGCATTGCCTGGGAGAAAAACGCCCGGCTGTTTGGATGTTGCCCGCGGCGAGTCCTAACAAACCGCCATGCCATGGTCCTGTCCGGTCGCTCGTCATCCCCATCATGACTAGCGAATAGGTTCATCATGGTGTAACATCGCCATTGCTCTACACCCAGTCAGCCAACGACCAGTACCAATGGGGTGGCGACGTACAAACGATCTTACCATTACATTGCCAGCGAAGTCTTTTGCAGCAATGCTTCATGAAGTAAGCCGATGGCATTCTATATTGATGCCACCAGCGTCCCTGAGGCTGACTGCATGCTGTGGGCGTGAAACGAGCAGTAAGTAAACTCACCGACCTCGAGAATGCGGGGTAGTTAGATCCCCTCCCATTGGTACGATGTAGAGGCATTGCGTCCTCGCCGAGCGGATATCAAAGGCAATTACTATGTTTCCTCACTCTAGGCGTGTTCTCTGTTGTGCAACATTGCCGGTGAACGTCTGGGCAAAGCCCGAAGATCGTGTGTTGGCTAATGTTGTGCAACATTCCGTCAAAGTAATGGAATGAGGCCATCCGAGAACCTCGTTGAGAACTTCTGTCGGAAGTAAAGGGTGTGAGTAGTGTGTACGAAGTCATCGTCTTCCTCAACCCAGTGCAGTATGATATGGCGAAGCTCGAGGTATTGCGTGGCGGCTAGGTTGTTAACTCTAGAGGGTCCAGATGGGAGCTCCCGTCTTACTGCCTCATCGTGATACCAAGCGTTGCTCAGTCAAGCTTCTATATTGTGAACAGTGTGTCAGATGACCAGTTTCGCTTGATGACTAGCAAATCGGAAAAGCTTCCTGAAGATGCTGTGTTCCGAGGTCCCGACTGCTCAGACGGCCAGGATTTCGGTGCCACTTTCGAATGATATGAAAGAGAAAACGGGGTAAACACTTGTCATGCTGGGCTGAAAACCGTATCACGACATTTGTACACAAAAGCCGCACGTATCTTGCTAGGGCAGATATTAATGTTGACGAATGGAATCCGTTGCCCTGGGCCATTCGTGCTGCTTGCCAAACCCGGCTGGCGTGTAGAATCCGACGTTGCAGGCTCAAAAGATCACTAGACCTCTCACATCTTACAAGTTCCCTCATCTGCGGTGCGGAAATTAGCAGCTCATGCACATTGCCGGCCTCATGGTAATGCTTATATCTCGTGCGCAGCCCATCGGTCTTCGGTGCGGCTTCGGCCAGGCATCCGTGGCCTGTATGGCAAATTGTAAACACCATCTTCGGATCGTTGGAAAAGCTTGGACTGATCGCTCCGGAATGGCGTAGGTATATCTCTTCATTACGGCGTGCACGGCAGGAAACTTTCCGTGCGGCAGACGCCCTCGCGTGTTCTTGCGGCACGGTGAAGATGCTTCTGGCTAGGTAGACCAGAGTTGATAAAGAGCCTCATCCTAGATCGACACGGCGGCGTCCGCACGGTAGCAGGTGGGTCGCGGTTCCAGCATGGCACCGGCAAATGGACGAAACTCTATCTTGTAGATCTGTAGACCAACACCGTCTGAGCCTCAAAGGTGAAGAAAGATTGGCCAACCAAACGCTTGATTGGAGCTTCCGCATCCTCGAACAAAGTCCAGGCGAATCTCACCGCTATTTGATCGAGCGTCTGTCCAAGATAAGCCTGGGAGTGCTAATCCCGAGCTCTAGTAGCTTGCGCATGAGATATATCGAGGATGTTCCATTGTCCAATGGAACGTCGGTCACCCTTTTGAGGGATATTAGTTAGCCAAAACGAAATCCAGAGGCATCCACAATCTACAGAGGTGTAAGCCACGGTAGCCGCCAGTGGCGAGTCTCTTGGTCCGACTGCGGCGGCGTGGTGGGTGATGGCAAGTGTGATGGCTGCCCTAACCCCAAAACCACTTGTAATCTTGGTTTAGGGTGATGTTTGTAGTACATGGGGCGCAGCTACGTGTGGCTCGATGCCACCGGGGTCAGCCACATAAGAGATAATTCGACTGAGAAGAGTGGCGCTTTCAACTCGATCCCCAAGGAACGAATACCTGGATAGGCAGACAGGCAGATCACTGGTGCCTATGCGAGCATCTTGTTGATGAGACGCGGGAGTGGCCTGCATCTCAAAACCAAGGCAAAGCCGCTACGTGGAAGCGCAAGCGAAATATTTCGAGGAGGCCTGCCGGTTGGGGGTCGAACCCCGGGCGAGAGGTACGCGTCCCGTCTTCTCGATGAAGCTCGAACCGTCTTCAGATTACACGGCGATCTTGGCTGCAAGGGATTGATCAAATATCAAGGAAGTCATCGACAGCCTCGAGTGCCGAACTGCCGTTATGCCAGATGCAGTGGGCTAGTGGTTTATTTGGCTAGATTGCGATGGCGTTGTGCGGTGTATGCGCGGTGAATGTCTCGGTAGGCCTCTACGAGGTCTCGGTGAAGGAGCGGTCAGAAAGGAAAGCGGCGGGAGCAAGTGTCTACAGCACCACGCATAGTGGTAAAGATTGTGTTTTGTGTGCCAAATGCCCAAGCAATTTGATTCCAAGAGCATGCTGCATGTCCAGAACGCCCAGGGGAGGGGGTGAGACGACCGGGGTGCAGTTCACTCAGAGTTTCGCACGGCTTTGTCGATTGCCTCTCGTGTTCGGTCGATATGGCCATGCCATTTACAGATGCAATTTCCAAAGCCCAGGCGGGCAGGAGGCTCGAGAGAGACGTCCTGATGGGTTCCATTGGTGATCTAGAACTCTAGACGCATCCTAGAGGGGCCGTTGAGCGAGGGGGGGCCCATGGGGATGCCTCTGGAGACTGCAAACCACCCATGCCGCGTCCATCTGGAGTGGACATGTAGCGACTCCATAGTCATCGGTGATCTCTGTTTGAAAAGCTCCGGTATCAAGACTGTACGGCAACCTCTCCGTCTCCTCTCCATCTCCATCTCCATTGTCTACCGCAGTCCGACACTTTGAAGGTGAGGAAGCTGAGACTGCGCTCGTCCGGGGGAATACCGGTAGCTACTGTCCGTCAGTGGCCGGTGGCCGGTCATACTTCGTTCATCCCATTTCGAGAACCTGAACAGCCCCTCTTGACCAGACGCCGCCGGAATAGTGCCTGATGATAGACTTGTCGACAGTTTTCTCGCAAGTTGCGGGCTTCCTCGCGGCTCGCTAATAAGCCTCAGATAGAAGTGGATGCTACTGCTGAAACTGCGGGCTCTGGCGGACGCTCCTAGCGCACGGAAAAGACGCCTACTGCCCCTTCGCGCCCCTGTAGTCCTCTTTTGGTCTCCTTAGTCTCCTTGGTCTCCGTGGTCTCCCCTGTAGAAAGGACGCCAGCACCCGCCTGAGGCGGCAACGGCACAAAGCTGGCAGCGTGGTTGGAGCAAGAGGCCGACGTTGTGGGGGGCTGGTTAGGGGGGCCTACGGGGCTATTGTTGACCACTTTAAGCCCTGCGTACCGCTAAGAGCCCCAGGCGCCTAGTTCATGAGAGAAAGACTCGATCTTGCACGTAAATGCCCGATGACGGCTGAGGGCCGTGAAACGGGTCACTACGTCATTTAGCCCTTTCCAGGATGCGTAGCAGCGTAGGCACGCGCAACCCATGTACGTACGAGTAGACGCAGTGAAGAGATTTCGTGCGTAGAAAATGGTGTACGCCCAGTGAGGATATCGACGGCCTGCCTCTTTTGCCCATGTTTGTGACTCCCTGCCGCAGTGCCCACTGCCCCCATTCCGTTCTCCTGCGGGGGCACGACAGATGAGGAGAGAGAGACGAGATGGAGATTGGAGAAGAGTCAAGACTCCAAGTTGAGAGCCACAGTACCCCCTCCCCCACTGAGGATCTGAACCTCCGGATATGGCAGCCAGATGTTGACGTGAAAGGACTCAAGGGATACAGTCTGAGCTTCTTCGGTGGATATGACCCGTTTGGTGCCCACATTCTTTCATGTTTGATGCAAGGTTGATGGCTCTTTTGGAAGTTGGAGCTGTAACTCAGGAGTGATGGGTTGAGATGAAGCCGACCGCAGTCCTATGTATCGAGTATGGAGTATCGACCGAGCCGAGATAATAAGCAATGGTACGTTGAGATCGCACCATGGGCCCATGCTGGCTTTCCCATCACCATTGCCTTGCTCATGCTGCCTTGCTGTGGTGCTGTGCTGACTTGCGGTTGGCTGTTTCCGGAGCAAATCCTCCTTAACGCTCCGCACTCTTGAGTCTTGACAACTTTACGTGCGGCGTGTACCGAAGCCTGCGGGCATCAATTCCCGTCTCAGCAAACCACGGAATACGGGAAGACTATTATTGTCGAGAGGACGGGTTCCCTGGACTTGAGTCTCACGCATCAACAGCCCATACTCGGTCGACACGCTGTGTTTCCCGGGTTTCTTCCAAGGAACTTTGTAGTCAGATGACCATGGTGGTGACGGTAATGATGATGCTGCTGTCAAAGACTTCCGAGAGTACAGATCGTGTGCCCTCATTTCCCATAAACCTGCTTCCTAAGTACTGGGACGTTTGTGTGTACCTATCCGTCCTTTGTACGCCATCCTCCTCTTGTCTCACCGGCACAGATGGAATGAGGTTCTGGGGCTGACACCGGAGATGGGGGCCAAAATTGCCAATCAGATCCTTGCTGCCGTCTTAACTGTGTATGTTGCGTTCTCGAACAAGAGGATGTCCTCCGTTCCCCAGTCTCATTAGTATAGAGACCTTTCTTCATCGGTGGCCCTTTTTGGCCCTGGCCGCTCAAGCGAGGGCCATTGAGAGGCCTTATCAGAGTAATGCCATGCCTGCATGTATGCAAAGGCCACACAACCATGGGTATCTTTTTTTTTTTTTTTTTAGTCTGATGGATTCAGCCCTCGCGTGCGAAAGTTGGCAGCATCCCGGCTCGTTCTGGCAGACTTCGTGCAGATCGGTGGGGCTCGTCATCGGTCGAGAAACGCCCCCGACCTCCATTGTCGTATCTGTAAGGTTGCGACGCATTCCGACTTGCGCGGCGAGGTACACCGGAGTGACTCGATTGCTTGACCAAGCACCGCACCCTCTTCAGAGACAGACCTGGAGCCAACGACGTGGTCACTGGTGAGAACAGAGGATGAAGCTATTGTCTCCGAGGCATATGCACCGTAACTCGGGCGGAAAATCAGGGTTGAACCTTCGCATGTTGCCTGCTAAAGGGTTCAAAGCGGCATCTCAAACCCGGAGGCTGCACTTGGAAGCCAGAATACCGGATTCACTTCGAGAATAGCATGTCGCTTCTGCTTCATCGATCCGTCCCGGTCACCTGGCATCATCCGGAGTCTCGTGGGGCACTTCTATTCGCGACCCACGCGGGTTGGTGCCTCCTTCAGCCGTTGCGTGGCACGGGAAGGGGGCGTATGGATACTAGACTGGACAAGTCTGGGTTCTGTGCCTGACGATGAACAGGGCGAACAGCGATATGTCTTGACATGTAGCCTTGAAATGGGACGGCGACGGCGAGGACGAAACGACACGTCTGTAATCGCGATTCCCCCCCACGGCCCTCACAAAAACGCACCTCGCCGTGATCGTTGATAGTGAAAAGTCTGGCACCATTTGTATCAGCTGGTGATGAATTGCGTCATGACTTGTACAAGTCATTCGAGTCGCCTCGGACGCGGGACCAGGCCGGTGCAGTCGAAATTGATCCCGTGAGCCTTCTGACAGGATCTTTGGAATACCCCCGCAAACAACCGTGCCCTCCGAGTTAAGACGTGGGATTTCTGCAAAGCTATCAAGTCTGACGATTTTGGGTTTGGGTCATTCTAGCTTTGTTTGTCCCGGATCTTGCGGGGCGCCCAGGCAGTCGCATCAGAGCCCGGATTCTAGTGCAGGCTGATTTACAGCTAGATGATTGCTGCAAGACGTGCTGGGAACAAGTAGGAATGATTCCAGGCAGGTTTTCTGGGCGAAACACACCGCTCTGGCATGATTCCTTCTTCCCCGGAGGCTTTGAAGACAACCAAGGAACCATGTAGCTGTGTATGGTCGCATTCGACGCCTCCTCCTGCGACACGTCAAATGGGAGCCGGGCCCCGAGTTGAATGCTGTCGGGCGACAGCCTGATTGGCCAATGGAGATTCAGGTTGCACATGGTTTGGAGAACCCAGCAAGATTCTGAGGATAAAGGCGACTTGTTGGATAGCAGGCTGCTGTTTTCCGGGTTGGCCGTGACTCCTTCATGGCCCTTTCTCTCTTTAGCAGAGAAGACATAACCACAAGATTCCATACTTCTCTGATCTGCTTGATCTGTCGAGTGCGGTCACAAGCTGTGCTGCGAGGGAGATCCGGCTGTTGAGCTGCAGAAAATAGAAAGTGACCTAGATTCGAACTCTTTTATTTGTTCCCCCCCCCAAAGGGACACAGACAGTGTTCAAGATCCAAAGTCCATACAACCACGTACTATGTTGGCGTTGAGACATGTAGCGCTGCAGTTGTGATTGGTTAAGGCCATGGGGCCGTTCGCCAGGCATGCCCCATGTCTGTCTATGTGCTCCGTATCCGTACTTTGCTCCCATGGGCTGAGCATCGCCTGGCACGGAAGATCCGGAAGCTGACGCGCGCCGGGAGCGACTCGGAAGCCGAGCCCTGGTCTCGTCGTCTACTCCTGCGCTCCGCCGGCTTCCTCCACGCCTCGTCGCCGAGTGGAGATCAAGACACAAACTTTAATTGAGGTTCCGTCCAGTCTCGACTCGCTCGCGACGTGGGATGCTTGGCCAAAGATGATGTTTGCTGGCTGTTTGCCAGCCTCACCGCCCCTTGATTTTCGATCGATGCTCTCGTCTCTTCTATGTGACATAGAGCTGACTCAAGAGGTTGAAGAAGCCCCCGACAATGGCTTCGACTGGGCGCCTCTCCAAAGTAGAGTGTTGAGCGTGCATCGGTGGGATATGGCCAGGTCTTTGCTTGTATCCTGCGAGCACTCGTTCCTCGCAGTTCAGTAAGGCGCAGCGCACCTGTAGTGGAACATACGAAAACAGTGTCTCTGTCGTTCGAAAGGCACGGTCGCCACACCTAGAAATCCACACTGTGTTCGCGCTGTCTGGGGCCTATCCAAACCCTCACCTTGTCCCGTATCCGATTCACCGATCGCTCGGGGCGTCGGGCATATGTGGCGCTCACTGATGCTGAAGACCGTCATTCATCACCAGATGATCTTCCGTCTCCGGTCTCCAGCGTCGATCGTAGAGCGAGATCTGACAATGGGATGTTCCCAGGGCCGAGGTGAGATCTCCACATATGTGTTCTTCTCCTCTGTTCGGTTTTCGGAGGTGCATGCGCTCGAAATCTAGATCAATGGTCTGACAATACCAACAACTCGCCTTTGCCTCGGGAGTGAGTGACTTGATTGCAAGAGTCAGGCTGGCGACATGGAGATGTCTAAAGTTACACTCCCTCCCTGAACCCCTGGAACCTTACATACGGGCGGTGTCTGGAAACACCAGGAGAAGTCTGTTGTCTGGGGAAGAAAACGCCACCTTGGACGCCGCCGCGTGGTAACAAAGAATTCGTGATACGCAGCAGAGTTCGACCATCGTTGCTCGTCTTTCCTGCGAATTGATGCCGAGCTTTGGTTCATTCCATTTGAGGCCATCGAGCCGTCCCCAACGAAACAATGTGACGAATCAGGAGCTTTGCCAGGACCGGAGCATGAAGCTGAGAGGGACCGGGCCACTAGGTGTCAGGCAAAAAATCCCCGGTGCTCCAAAGCTGTAAGAAATCAACATTGGATGATATGATGATCCTTGTCAACCATCAGACCACCGCTCATAGCCGGCGTTTCCCTGGAATGCGCATCAAGCATGTGCAAAGACAGAGTTCAAGGCCAGATTGCGTTCTCTTGATGCAATGTTGCAGCTTCGCATCTCGATACAGTCAGATGGATTATGATCGGTTCGTTGTTATCAAACGTGGGTCACTAGTGTCAGTCTTGATAGCGTGTAGTGTCGGCGATCATGGGGATAACTCTGCCGCGGTTGCGAAGCTCAAGCGAGCACGCGAGTTATCCGCACTGCGGTAGGGTAACGGGAACAGTTCGTATCCCAAAGCCGTTGACTACGTTTCTGCGTCGATCTTCGCCCAGAAGTTGGCCGGCCACTGCAGCTAGCTAGACTTCAGGGTCCTCTGCACATAAGGGTCGGTAGGGTCTCGTTGGATTAGGGGACCTATTGCGGAGTAGGCAGCTAGACTGCGTGCGGTGAAAAAGCGCCATCCGCCATCTCAAAAAAATGACAGAGACGCCATTGTAACATGGAATGTGTGTCCTCAGATCATCGCCTGATGCTCGGGATGAGGTTAGTCGACTCGGGTTGCGTCTCGGGTCCGCTCTCGGAACCAGGTTCAAGGGACCCTTATCAGAAGCCAAGGGCGCAGGATGAACCTCAGTCTCTTCGTAGTCAACATCAGATCAGTTGATGTGACAGGCGTGTGACCTGGGGCTAGCATTCAACATCTCCATTGTATTTGACGCAATCTCTTTCGTCATCCCGCAGGGTCTTGTTGGTTTCGCTACCGTAGTTGGCTGAGCAGGTCTCGTACATTGTGCAAGCTCTACGTCAGACCGAACGAGTTCCGTAGAGAGGGAATTGAAGCGAGGCAGATCTGAAGATCGAGCGATGGTAGGAGGGATGCCGCACTCTGCTTTGAGCCGTCAACTACGGGCCGTCCAGGTATCCGGCCGGTCGATTGACAGACGGCCACCGAACTGCTGATCCCCGTGTACGGATACTGACATCGCAGCTGGCCTAGGTTGTAAGTGTGCCCCGCCATCCGGCTCCCGATAGGTGTGGCTTGCACAATGGCTTGCGTGCTTTGTTCGAGGATTGCTGCTTCAGTGACGGGCGGGCCACGATGAGATCCTTGTTGAGATGCCATGAGCAGGGGCAAATTTAGCATCTTTTGATGGGCGACTAGGTGAGGGTGGCAGGGGCCACCTTGACTGCGCAGCGAATCAGGGGTAAGCGATGTGCGTTTTGGGCATCTCGGATTGCGACTTCAAAGATAACGAGACGCGGTGAGACGTGCCCGGGAGGTGTCGTTAATCCAGAGGCGCAAGGCGTGCCTGGGTGATGGCACGCAAGACGAGCAAGCAAGCAAGCAAGCAAGCAAGCAACCGCGAATTTTTACCACGGTGTGCAGCGTAGAGGCGCTAACAAGACGCTTGGCTGCGAGATGCAGCCCCTTGAGTCGCCGGCCACTCTTAGCTTTGTGCTGTGTGCGAGTTGTTGGTGTGGGGTGATATCGTTCGGGTCCCCTATCTCCAGATTTCTTGCCAAGATGATCCGGCATCTATTGACCGTCGAGGGGCCAAATTGGGTGAAGGTGAGCGTTGGGCGATGGCATCTGTCAGAGTGAATGCGTACGATTGCTAATCAACGTACCATGCCATACAGTGGACACTTCGCTTGAGAAGATGATAAGAGAGAAAGTGAGGGGCAATGGGCCAAGGGCACCTCGCGCATGCTTCCCCAGAATGCAAGCTGTGAGTAATAGTTTGACACATGCGCTGATATCCATAAGAGACGAGATTGAGAGCGAGGTGGATTGTCAGTTTGCGTGATCCGACGAAGGCTGAAGCGCAGCCGGATGGAGCTCTTGGTGAAGCCATTCCCCACCAGAGAGATCCTGCCATGCGTGCCATGGCGCTTTCGAATGTCGATGGGCGTTCTGCACGAATTTGGAAGGGGCCAGTGAGCATTTGCATCGTTTGATACCCATGTCGTACACCCTGGGTCTGGGCGAAGAAGTCCCCGAAAGGCCGAAAGCTGATTGACGATGCCCTTCTGTCTTCAAACCGGTTGTGACAGAGGTAGCTCTGTGAGAAGCTCAAGTAAGTGAAGGGGCTTGACTGGACCTATGGCGGTGGCGTACGTGGGCTTCTACGCCTCAAGCGAGGCCATGCAGCTCAATGACTGGTTCTCAGCCCCTGCAGCTCCCACTCGTCACAATGGCCGGAGCCATGCCTTGCTGCATGCCGCTGGGTGCATGCTGTGAGTGCTCGCAGTCGCAGCCCCTACTCCGTACTCCGTACCGAATGTGAGCATAGAAGTGGATGCTGGATGTAGGTACTTTAGGTATGTGAGTGGGAATGGGGAACATGGGCCAGTGGAGATCCGTACTCCGTCCGTTCAACTGGATGACCTGAGAAAAGGCTGCATTTGCGCACAAGCCATCGGCTGAGGGAGACGAGAGGCTGCCTGGCAATCCAAAGTCCAAAGGCGACGACAAGACCGAGTATTGATTTCTTGTTGTATTCGTAGTGGGGTTCCTTGCTTGCTGGACAGAACAAAAGTCATGACAAAAGACACGGAGTGTTGCACAGCGCGGAGACTGGAGATTTTGATAGGTCCCCGCCCGAAGCGGTACAACGGCTAAAATGGATGCACCTCTGGCATCCGAAAATGCGGCAATATCGTGTAAAGGTTGTCGTTTTTAGGGTACTGCTGACCTAGACTTCGGCGCCTGGGCCAGAGATTGATCCGGTGAAGACGGAGGTGGTGAGGGAGGATGCCCGTCCAGTGGCCCCGGTGCCGGTGTTCGGATCCAGAGGATGGCACATCAACCAGATGAGCAATGCTCGGGATTCGTAGTGGCGGGCGGGCTGGGCCGCAGACACCCAAGGGTCGGTTCAAGCTTCAAAGCCGCCGCGAAGTAAGACGACTCTTGGGATGACGACGGCAATATATTAGAGTGTGGCAGAACGAGCTTGCAGTGGTATGGCGGAACTCTCCAGCTGCAACTCTAAAAGGCTCAACGTTTGATGCATCATACCTACTACTGGATGGACGACTGGCGTTGAGTAGAAGAGTGAGGGTTTCTAGGGGTCGAATACCAACTTTGATTGGGTGCGGAACCCGGTCTTGTTGGTCAGGTCGGAATGATGTAGTGAGGGTGAAGGCGTTTGAGAGTTCAATGGAGGAACATTCTAATGGGTGAAATTGCTTTGATACTACACATGATGGAATGTGGTGATAGGATGGCTGTGAGATGGGTGCGTGTAGTGTTGGTTCGATTCTGCGATGATTTCAACTGATGTCGAAGACAGCTAGTCCTAGTGCGCCAACGCCTTGTTGCGTTTTTCTGCATGCTTGGTGCTTTGCTGGGCATTGTTTGAAGGCATTTCCTGTCCTGAACAGTCCCACCTAGACTGTATCGACGGTAGTATGTAGGCTTTGGTGTAGCAGCAAGCAGCTGGTGCTATGGTATTGGCTGGCATGTAGAGGTGACACGGTGCCGACGGTAATGGATATGGATAAGCATAGGAGCAGTGAGCGGCATCTCCGCGCACCAGAGAGAGTGCAAAGGAGAGTCCGTGCCGGTGAGGTCCGTGAATGAGCGATGGCTTGTGGTTGTGGATAAAATGTGGATGTGGGTGGTGGAGTGCGGTCGGGGCGGGCGATGTGATGTTGCAGCGGGAATTGACTTCATTCTCACTTTTTTTTTTTGGTGGGGGAAGAAACCTCAAGGCTCAAGTGTTTCCTGCCTTTCTTTGGTGAGTTTCTTTTTTTGGTGGGGGGTGGCCAGACTGAGTCCATCAGGTGGGGGGAACCCCCTGCTCTTTCCTTCCGTAACTGCCCCTCCTTCCCTCCTTCCTCTTCTCTTTTTTGCGATGACAGCCTTGGGTCCTCTTGGGTCCTTCCCACGATACCGCCTGCTGGTTGGTCAGTCGTGTTTCCTTCCCTCCTTTTCGGTAAAAAAAATGGTACCGGTAAACCACTCCATTTCCTTTAGTCCTTCCTGCTGAATCATCCCCCATCCCGTCGCGTCGTCGTCTCCGCGTCTAAGTATGTACATAGATACGTACTCCATACTCCATCCCACTTGCTCCTTCCCCGTCGTCTCCGTCCTTTCCCAAAACACGGGTGCGGTGGATGCGGGAGGTGCGGTGCTGCGGCGACTCGCGAGGGCAAGAGTTCCAGGCCAAAATCCCATCCCAACGGCCTGCGGCCTGCCCCGGTTTCCGGTCCCCACTTCTGAAGCGATGAATACGGATTCAGATGGATTACGGAGAAAGTGAATAAAAAAAAAAAAAAAAAGGAAGCAAAAAGCCCGCAATGCAGATTCTTCGTCGACGTTGGAAACTAACATACGCCGCAGTTATCAAGGCGTCAGACATATCATCTAACAAAATAACCCTGGTGATCCAGCGTCTGCCCATCCAGTGAGAATTGTTGCCGACAGCTCGGGCCACTCTGAGAATACGCTCCGTGCGTGTTGTGTTGTTGCTGTCGCTTTCGCGCTTCGTCTGTTCTTTCTGGGGCAATACCTGAGCCGCCAAATGCCCATAGCGGTGCCTGCTCTTACCCCAATCGAAACGTACTTTGCAAGGAGCACGAATTATTGCCATTGGCGAGACATTTTGTGAGAAGCATTTGCCTCTCAGTGCTCCGCTCATCGCCGATGCACAAGGGCAGCCCAACAGCATCAGTGAAGAAAGAGTCGTGTCCAAGAGAGCGGTGACAGTAACACAAGCAAAATGCATTGCTATCGCCATCGCCAATGCAACCATCAGCAATGGCAGCGCATTATAGTGCCACAATGCATCTGCGCCATTTCTGTCACGACTCGGGCGACTCATTCACACGTAGCAGCATGCTGGTCTAGGAATCTCAACCCTCGCCCAGCCGTTTCTTGGCCGAGATGAGACATTTTGACGACAAAAAGTTCTTCACGCCGTTGCCGCCAGTATGGAGCGTGGGAGCCAAAGTCTCTAATCAGAACGAGATGTGTCAATTGGCTCTCGATGCAGGCAGCCGCTCCGCATACGGGACTATAGGTAGTCAAGATCTCGTAGTTGCACTACTACCGTCAGCGTCGGCATCAACAATGTCTATGCCATCCATACCAGGCGCCGGTAGGGTAGCTCGTGCCAACGGCCACCATCGATAAAAGCTGATGCCGGCATCGGTGTCGTTGCTATCGCCAGCCCTAGTCCAGCTGCAACCTGTGGCTGACAGAGCGACTGACTATTCGTACCGCTTCTGACACACAATTCCCTGGATTCATCAGTCATCAGCGACAGAGCGGGTCGGCGTCGTCTTAGCGCTTCCAAAGACACGGCGCAAACAACGCACAAACGTGCCGTCAAAACTTAGCCCGCACCCAGAGAAAAAGAGAGTGCAACAGGTATTGTCCGACACTGACTCTGACTCTTCTGCCTGTCTTGTCCCTGGCCTGCTTCTGCTTCCAAGTGCATTCCAGTAATGGTAGATCGGCCCCCAAAGCAATAGCATAGCCAAAGGAAACGAAGCTTTTCGCAGGAGTGTTTGATGTTTGTCATGGGTTCGGCCTTGTTGAGAATAGTTCCAGAGCAAACTTGCGGAGACAACCACTTTGGATGGAATGTAGGAAAAGGCTGGAATGTGGACCGAACTGGTATCGTTTTCCCCCTTTACCAGTCTTCTTTTGCTTGTCCCTTCCTTGTCCTTCACATCCATGTTCCCATCCCCCATCTTCGTCCAGTGTCTCGAGTGTTGGTTCCACCATTGGTTCTGCTTCGTGTCGCCATTGCTTTCAGGCGAGGACCCGGGGGCATGGCCTTATTTCGCTCCGTTATTGTCTGCGGACGGGCGCCGGCCGATCAGATCATCAGAACGGGGCCGCAGGGGGGGGGGGGGCAGATTCTGGAGCCAATTCTTTTTGTCTTTGCTGCGTATCAACGGCGGGTCAAGTTTTCCCAGAATCCCCAGGTGGGTTGCCCCAATCATTGATAAAGTTCGAGCTGAGCAGGGCTTGGTATCGATATCGAACGCTTGCTCGAGTCGTGGCCACGTCCATCCTTCAACGACGGCAACACTCAGTGTCTTTTGAGAACCAGGCTGGCGGTGTAATTGGAGAGACAAAGCAGAGGGTGCAAAGAAGGCATGCTGACAGTGAGACGCGACCGAGACGCGCCTCGCCCGACACAAGTCTGATTGACACCCTCCGTACAAAAGACATCCAGTCAGGCAGCCTAGTGGCTTCGAGATTCATGATAACGTACGCCATAAGGATGGAAGATATCGGTAAAACGTCTCTGATAAGACGAGGTGGTCGAGATAAGGCCAAACTTTTGAAGGTGATGTAATGTGCGGCTTTGGCTATCCGCCGATATGGATCGTGGGCCGAATCGGATAGAAAGGGAGTGCTAGCGACCCGAGAAATCGTGCACCCGTCGTGGGCCACACGTCGTGGTGTGGCTGGATCGTGAGTGGGAGAGGGAGTGGGAGTGAAGTGTTGTTTCGACGAGGAGTACCTCTAAGGACAGCTCCTCTCCCCCACTTAAAAACTCACGATGCTTTGCGTCTTCGCCTTGGAGCTGCGAGGCAGGCACGCACCCAAAAGAGGCAAGGGAAGCAAGCTAACTGCCCAGTCAAGCGAGAAAGAGCGGGCGGACGACGCGACGACGATGGTAGGTGCACCTGCCGCCAATGACAATTTCAATCAGCAATGACATCATTCTTTCCTTCGACCCAAACTTTTACGAACTTTTTTCACCGGATCTTTTGCGCCTGAGAGTTGGGTTCCCCATCCGTGTGTGTTCCAAACGAGCATCGTGAAATGACCGATAATGGAAGCTTCCTTGTACTGGGGGGATAATACCTAGATCAGGTACTGGGGGGAATGGTTGGGGCTTGTTTCGTCTATTACGAGACTGCCCTGTCCCTTCTATGGCTTGTTCTGGGTGTCGCAAGCAGTGCGCGCGGGCAAGGACTTCAGTTCCGGTCCCGGGCAGACAGGAAGGAAGGGACAGGGCAAGGGCAGATACATACTTGTAGAGGTAGGGCAGGGCCATTGCTTCCAAAACGCGAACCCATGCCTTCCTTGCCTGCCTCAGTGCCTGCCTTGCCTGCCATTGCTCGCCTGCGGCCTGCCTGCGCCGGTCTGTGCCTGCGTCTTCGCTTCTTTCTTTGCGGCATGGGCCTGGGCTGCTTGGCCTGGGCTGAGCCGACTGGGGTCGGTCGCTGCTGCCCTCTGCCCGTGTTGAAAGCGACGTGGGGCCGTGTCAAGTGTACAGTGCCGAAGGCAAGCGAGAGCCGGGAGAGGAGGGAAGGCACGCACCTCAGACTTTGCAGAGAGAGACAAGAGGGCGCCATAATCTCCGTCCCCGGCACGATGACGATGGAAACGGCATTCTCTCATACCAGCCGCCCTGCCAACAGTGTCTTCAGTACGGGATGAGGTATGCCGCGGCATGGCGGCCACTGATGCAAACGAGATTCGAGACATGGCGAAGCTAATTGAGAACGATCAAGACCAAACGGCGGCTCGATGGTCTGGGGTAAAATCAGCTAGAGCAAGCAGAGAGGTGGGAGCATCACCAAGCACGAAATACGGTGCTACGGATACAGACTGTTGAGGAAAAGGCTAATACAACTTCAAGGAGGCAGGTATGGGGTAGTGCCGGGCCAACAACTCTCGAGACCAATGTCCGGCTGGAGCCGCAAACACTTTGATCGTCAACTGCCTCAGTCTTCCAACCACCTGCGAACTTGAGCCGACTGGATGCGTCGCGATGCTCTGCTAGGCGGCGGGATGCCAAGTTTAGACACTCTCTCCGTCCCAACTCTTTTCGATTTGTCGGTCGATATTGGAACGAGACAAGAACGGACCTGTTACTCTCGACTCCCGCACATTGCGCCAAGATGTATACTCTCGACAATGTATCAGTGTCGACTGCGGATACGGATAGGATAGGCCAATAGCTTCTATGGGCATGATTCCGGCATGAGCAGTTCGATACCAATCTGACAACTCTCAACGTTGCATTGCTCTCCAACTTTTTCTTTGGCACCTAATGACTGAGACGGGAACCGAAACCTCAGGCCATTCTGCAGCAGTGGTGTCGTACAGACAAGCTCCGACCCCAATTTTACTCTACCTGATAGAGTACGGTTACCACTGTCGAAGCTATCGAGTCTTGAGTCTCTTGAGAAAGAGCTGCTGCTGCGGGTTGTCATGCTCTTTGATGAGAGAATGATGGGACCATTATTTTACGCAGTATGGCAGTATGTATATCAGCACCAACGCTAAATTGACTAGAAACCCTGTCCCTGCTCCTGCCCCCGGTCTATTTCTTTCACCTTTGACCCAGTCGGTACGTTTTTCTCTTCATCCCTGCTAGCGCATCTTGAAGTTTTCCACTCCTTTTTTTTGCGAGAGAGAAGGAAGCACCCACCCGGGATCCGTACTGTCCTATCAAAGATGGTCTGCTCTGCACTGCTCATTAGTCATCCCGGTACGTTCTTTTCTGCACTGTGTGTGGTCAGGTTGCTGTGGCTCAACTGCTCTGCCACTTGCTTCCCGTCACTGCTCAGTCTACCTTACCTTACTGTGTAGGTAGAGGCCTTGACCGAGAAGACGTGTACCACCACCACCACCACCACCACTGCAAACCAAGAACCAAGAAACCAAGGCGGCAGCATAATCAGACCGGACTGCTTACTCCTCCCGTCCCGCCCCTGCTACAGCTTACCTTACGAGCCGACGGAACTTTGGCTTCCTCACCTTTCCCCGCCTGTCCCTGCTCTCCTCCAGCGACTTCATGTTTCAACCTTTGTCCGCTCCCGGCACCTCGCACTGCGCGTCGTCGCGGCATGGATTGGCTCAGCATTCGCATATCAGTACGGAGTACGGATAGGCGTGCCAGGCATGGCTAGGCGTGGAGATTATGGACATGACAGGCAGGGTGGGGTGAGAGGGTGGGTGGCCAGGGCCCGGTCGGTCATCGCTGATCTGATCTGACTCTACCGGAAACCTCAACGTCCTTCCTCCCGCACCCAGAAACCCTCGATACCGGAGGGGGGACGGCCTCAACGGTACCGGCCGGTAGCAGCCATCGATCATTGCGGGAAGGAGAGAAAGGAGGGGGAAAAGATGGAACAGACATTCAGAGAGCGATGATTGTCTTGTCTCTCATCCCACCTCCCATTTGACATCTACCGTGAGCAAAAGCTGCCGTGCTCATCTAGAAGAGATTCTGCCCAGTGGCCAAACACCCATGCATCCATCTCACACATGTTTCTTCATCCGTTCAAGGAAATACATACCTACTGGTAGGGTAGGAAAGGAAAGGCATCAGCCAGATGCAATGCGAACTGGGCAACTTGCAAGACCAGGCCTGGAGTCCACCACCCGCATCTTCAAGCCTCCCAAGCCAGCCCGCCGCCGTCTCCGCCTCCGCCTCCGCCTCGGGCTTCTCCAAGTCTTGGGCCAGTTGCCAATCTACTGTACTGGGCTAAACTGTGGCAGAAGGGGCTCCCGGGGAGGCGAAGGAGAGACTGAGAAGCAATACCTACGGGTAGGTAACAGAAAGGGAGGGAGGGCGTGACTGCAGCAAGGCTTGCCAGCGCCTACAGATAATTCAGAATAGGTATGGATACAGAACAGATGCTCGCTCTGGCTTTCGTTGGCGCTCTTCTGCCATTCTTGCACCACCAACATGAC